GATGTCTGTTTTCTGAGATGATAATAGTTGTCTGATATATTTTGGTGCTCTTTGATTTGGTGAGTATGTGTTAATGAGTGTTATGTCTTCTTGATGTATTGTCCTCTTGATTATAATGCAGTGAGCGTCTGGGTCTCTTTTTACCTTTTTTGTTTAAAATCTGTTTTATCTGATATAAGTATAGCTGTTCCTGCCTTCTTTTTTTGGTCCATTTGCATGTAGGATTGTTTCCCATCCTTTTACCTTCAGTCTATTTTTTTTTTTTGAGATTTATTTATTTATACAAGCACTGGGTACAGTCAGAAGCACGGAGGGTGAGAGAATTCACCAGAGCCAGAGTGGGGAGCAGAGCAGGCAGAAGGACCGAAGTACACTGCTGAGGGGAGCAGCGGGCGGCAGGAGAGGTCTGCACGCCATGTGGGACCCTCCTCCAGTGGCCTGGGAGCAGCCAGGGATCGAACCGGCGCAGCAGAGGCTGTGGGCAGCTTCACAACCCAGCGCTCAACAGCTGCGCCAGTCTATTTTTATCTTTTGTAGTTAAATGTGTTTCCTGGAGCAGCAAAAGTCTGGGTTTTGTTTTGTAATCCAGCCTGCAACTCTGTGTCTTTTTTTGAAGAGTTTAGTCCATTTACATTTAGAGTTAATATTGATACATTAGTGTCTATATTTGCCATTTTGTTTGTTTTTTGTGTGGTTTATTTTTTGTCTTGTTTTGTTCTTATTCATCCCTTTGTTGGTTCCAGCTTTAGGACTCCTTGTAGTATTTTTTGGAGTGGGGGTTTAGTCGTAATGAAATTCTGGAGTGTCTGTTTGTCTGGAAGGTCCTTATTCTTTCTTCATAGAGGAAGGAAAGCTTTGCAGATTAAAGTATTCTTGGCTGGCATTTGCTGTCTTTAGTTTGTTGACCTTGTCCCTCCACTCTCTCCTTGTCCATAGTGTTTCTTCGGAGAAATCTGATGTCAGCCTGATTGGTTTTCCTTTGTATCTTATCTGTTTCTTCCCTATTGTCAGCTTCATTATTTTTTCCTTGTCTTGGATTCTTGGGAGCTTTATTATTACGTGTCTTGCTGTATTTTTCCTTTCATCGTGGAAGTTTGGTGTTCTTGCTTCTTGTATGTCTATTTTCAGCTCCTTCTTCATGCTTGGAAAATTCTCTTCGATTATCTCCTTGAATATTTTCTCTGTTCCTATGTCTCTCTCCTCTCCTTCTGGGATTCCTATAACTCTTATATTTCCTTTCCTCATGGAGTCTGACAGTTCCCAAAGTCTTGCTTCATTCTTTTTCCTTTGTATTTCTCTTTCCTTTTCTGTTTTGGTTCATTTTATTTCTGTGTCTTTGACAGTACTTATCTGTTCTTCCATTTCATCTATTCTGCTTTCACTGCTTATCCCAGAGATCTTTAGCTCCTCCATTAATCCTTTGATCTCCTGCATTTCTTTCATTTCCCTCTTTAGGGACTCAATTTCATTCTTCCGGTTGTTGATTATTTTCCCCTTATCATTGTTTTCCTTTATTTTTTTAATCATGGCAATTTTATTTTTTTTAATTTTAAAGTTTTATTGAAGTATAATTTGACAAATAATAAACTGCACATATGTATAGTGTACAATTTGATAACTTTTAACATTTGTGTATATCTATTAAAACTATCACATAAGCAAGATAATAAAACCACTATCTTCAGCAGTTATCGTGGTGCTTTTGTAATCTGACCTTCATTCCTTAGGTAACTACTAATTTTTCTGTCACTACAAATTAATTTGTGCTTTCTAGAATTTTCTATAAATTGAAATACATACTCTGTGCTATTTTTAAAATATGCATTCTTTCACTAAGAACAATTATTTTGAAATTCATTGACATTGATATATACATATCTCATTTTTTCTTTTTTCTTTTTAAACAATTTGTGCTCCCCCCTCCCCCTCAGATTGAGTCCCCATAGAATTTCCTCCCCCAAGGCACCTGTGCACCATCACCACAGTCCTCTGTACACCTCCCTCCTTCCCTCTGATCGCTGTCCCTCCCCCTCCCCTGCAGTATGTCTCTGATTTATAATTGTCCGTTTTTGCTTTGTTGTGTTTTGTACTGTTATTATTTTTTTTACACTGATGTCTTATTTGGTTCCCCTATATTCCTGTTATAAGTGAAACCATCCAATATTTCTCTTTTTCCTTCTGGTTTATTTCACTGAGCATAGTTCCTTCTAGCTCCATCCACATTCCTGTGACCAGCATGAGTTCATCTTTTTTGATTGCTGAATAATATTCCATTGTGTATATATACCACATCTTCTTGATCCAGTCATCTATGTTTGGATATTTGGGGTGTTTCCATGTTTTACCTATTGTAAATAGTGCTGCAATAAACATAGGTGTTCAGGTGTTCTTTTGAATCAATGTTTTTGTGTCCTTTGAGTAGATCCCTAGTAGTGGAATTGCCAGGTTATATGGTAGCTCCATTTTTAGTAGACCGAGAAACTTCCAGACAGCTTTCCATAGTGGTTGGACCAGTTTGCACTCCCACCAGCAATGTAGGAGAGTTCCTTTTTCACCACATCCTCGCCAACATTTGTTGTTGCTTGTATTTTTTATATGTACCATTCTTACTGGTGTAAGGTGGTATCTCAGTGTGGTTTTCATTTGCATTTCCCTGATTATAAGGGGTGTTGAACATTTTTTCATATGCCTGTTGGCCATTTGCATTTTCTCTTTGAAGAAATGTCTTTTGAGTTCTTCTGCCCATTTCTTGACTGGATTGTTTATTCTGTTTTTGTTGAGCCATGTGAGTTCTTTGTAGATCTTTGTGATCAGTCCCTTATTAGTAGAATGGAGTGCTAAGATTTATTCCCAATCAGTGGGGTGTCTCTCTGTTGGTTAATGTCTCTTTTGCTGTACAGAAGCTTTTCAGTTTGATGGAATCCCAGGTGTTGATCTTTGCCTTCACTATCACTGCTTTGGGTGATGAGTCTTTGAAGATGTTTCTGAGATGTATGACTTGTAGTGTTTTACCTATATTTTCTTCTATGTATTTTATGGTTTCAGGTCTTATGTCCAGTTATTTTATCCATTTTGAGTTGATTTTTGTGCGTGGTGAGAGTAGTGGTTTAGTTTCATTTTTTTACATGTGGAGGTCCAGTTTTCCCAGCACCATTTGTTGAACAAACTGTCCATGTTCCATTGCATATTCTTTGCTCCTTTGTCGAAGATTTGTTGTTCATATAAGTGTGGCTTTATTTCTGGGCTCTCTATTCGGTTCCACTGGTCTCTGTGTTGTTTTTGTTCCAATACCAAACTGTTTTAATTATTATGGCATTGTAGTATAGCTTGAAGTTTGGAAGTGTGATACCGCCTTTCTCCTTTGTTTTCATCAGTAAGGCTTTGACTATTCATATTTTTTTGTGTTTCCATATGAATTTCATCAGTATTTGTCCTATTTCTTTGAAGAATGTCATTGAGATTTTTATTGGAATAGCACTGAATCCGTATATTGCTTTTGGGAGGATGGCCATTTTAATAATGTTAATTCTTCCAATCCATGAGCAAGGGATGTCTTTCCATTTCTTTGTGTCTTCTAACAGTGTTTTAGAATTTAACAATTTCTTCTAACAGTGTTTTATAATTTTCTTTGCATAGGTCTTTCACCTCTTTTGTTAGGTTTATTCCCAAATATTTGATTTTTTTTGTTTCAATAATAAAAGGGATGGTTTTCCTGATTTCTTCTTCTTCAGATTGACTGTTTGTGTATAGGAAGGCTACTGATTTTTGTTTGTTGATTTTGTATCCTGCTACTTTACTGAACTGGTTGATTATTTTGAGTAGTTTCTCTGTGGAGTTTTTAGGGTTCTCTATGTATATTATTATATCGTCTGCAAATAGTGATAGTTTTACTTCTTCTTTCCCTATTTGGATCCTTATGTGTCTTTCTCTTGTTTTATTGCCCTGGCTAGGACCTCCAGTATTTTATTGAAGAGCAGTGGTGAGAGAGGACATTCTCGTCTTGTTCCTGATCTTAAAAGGAAAGGCCTTCAGCTTTTTGCCATTAAGAATAATATTGGCAGTGGGTTTGTTGTATCTGGCTTTTATCATGGCAATTTTAAATTCTCTATCTGGAAGGCTCAGAAGTTCTTCCAAGTCACTGTTGTTGCAGTCTGGTGGGTGATTTTCTCATTCTGGTGTGTCTTTTCCCTGAGGACTTGCTTGGTTGCTTATAGTTTTTCTTCTCCCTGCTGCTTATTTTCTAACTTGTCCTATTTTGAGATACTGTTTTGTTGGTACTGGCTGGCATCTCTTTGGTGTGCTCCTTCTGGTATGTCAGAAACTGGTGGCCCAATCAAGGCCAATACTGTTATGCCATAATTCCAGTAGGGCATGGTACTAAGGATATGTTGATGGGTGCTGTCCCTGGAAATCCACCACCTCTGTATTTATTTAATACCAGAGGTGGGTCTTGAGGTCCCTCAGACTGCCCTGGCAGTTGCTGGATCACCCCTGGGCACCTAATTGTTGGATCCCCTTCTGGGTTCAACTCAAGGCCAAATGTGGGGCCTGGCTTGTGCACGCTTTTTGGCTCACCTCTGACTGTGGGGATAGCCCTTTTTCAGTTCCACACAGTTTTGGTGACATCTGGACTCAAAGCTCCCAGTCTTAAGGATGGCTTGTCTGGGAAGCACTTCCCTGCTCCCTTAGACTGCCCCAGTGGTGGCTGGATCCCCCTCTGGGCTCCCACTGGCAGCCAGTGGTGGGGCCTGGCTTATGTGGGCTTTCAGCTCACCTCTGACTGTGGGGACAGCCCTTTCCCAGTTCCACACAGTTTTGGTGAGGTCCCAACGCAAAGCTCCCTGTCTTAGATATAGTGCTACTAGGAAGCACTTCACTTTGCCCTTGGTCTGCCATGGTGGTGGCTGGAATACCCTCTGGGTTCCCAATACCTGGATCTCCCTCTGGGTTCCAACCAGCAGCCAGTGGAAGGGCCTGGTTTGTGCGGGATTTCCACTTACCTCTGACTATGGGGGCAGCCCTTTCTCAGTTCCACACAGCTTTGCTGAGGTCCGGAGGTAGAGCTCCTTGTCTTAAATATGGAGCATCTGGAGGCACTTCCCTGTAATTTTGCATTATTAATTTAAAAGCTGCTAATTAAATTTCTTATTAAAGACTCAATAATTTATAAAGTGATTCATTAGATAATTTCAGTAACAATTTTCAAGATCCACCTTCTATTGAACACACACACACACACACACACACACTCATTAAATAGCAAAGAGTGTTGCAGTAGACTTTGACTGTCAGGGTCATGGTATTGAAACATTTGCCTCGGTAATTTTACCAACATCATTGAGGTATAATTGACATAGAATAAACTACACAAATTTGAAGCCTGCATTTGGCATATGCACCCACCTGTGAAACCATCAATCAAAATCAACATGAAATTGTTGTCGGAGATGCAGGGTCCTGCTGCCTATCACTACAGAAGCCAATGAGCAGAGACAGAAACTCAATCAATAGGATGTGCATTTGTTTAGGTAGAGATCTGAGAATGGTGGCCATATTACAAAGAAGAAACCATTCTAACATCTCATCTCTTGCTGGCTGTTTTATAATGAGTTGAACATAACAGTCATAAATGAATCAGGTAATCAGAACAGCCTGTCACAGTTGATGTTCCTGGTGTTCACACATTTATCTCCCAGAACTTGTTATCAGCTTCCTGGTTATTTTGACCCTGGTACATCTGATGGCGTCAATGTCTAGCATCAGGGCAGGATTCTTAGTTTAAAGCAAGAGTTTTAATTTAAAGAAAGCAGATGGTGGAGGTGGAAGAGGGTCCAGAGGGAGGGAGGGAGGAGCACAGGGGACTGAGGTGATGGTGCAGGGGTACATCGGTGAAGGAAACTCTATGGGAACTACACCTGGGGAGTGGGGGGGAGCAAAGATTGTTTAAAAATGAACAATGGTGTAAAAAATAAAAAAGGGCAAATAAATAAATATTATGCTCTTCAGTCATTATAAAAAAAAAAGAAATAAAACAGATCATTAGTCATAGAGTATGTATGTGCAGCCCATGTCCTGTGTGGGTGCACAGATTCCTATACTAGCTGTGGTGCATTTCCCTTTGTCCTCTATCAAAATGACATCTAGAAAATTCCTTGTGCACCTTTGTTTTTGTCTTTGTGCCTCTTCCCACCTCCTTCCTAACCCCAGGCAACCACAGATATGTACTCTGTCATTATAGAGAAGCTTACATTTTTAAAGAACTTTGTATAACTTTTCTTTTTCTATTGAGGTGATATTAGTTTACAAAATAGTATGTGATTCAGACTTCAGGTATATGTTATCACACCACACCCACCACCAAGACAACCATAATCCTCTACCATAGTCCACTGGGCACTCTCCCCATTTTACTCTCTACCCTCTCCCTTCCCCTCTGGTAGCCTCAATTATACAGTCAGATTTTTAAGACAAATAGTGCAATTTAACCATGGCCACATATCTGTGTTCAGCTGAGAATTTACCCCATTAGTGGGGACAATTGAACAGTCTCAGAGCTGTCTTAACAAATCCCTCTATAGCTGTACTCTTTGGCCTGAGGATGTATTGTTCTTCTACACTCATACAGCAACTCATGTTCACATTCAAGATGAGGACCAACCCTTCATTGTAGAAAATGGGGAAACCTCTGATGCCCCCGCCCCCCGCAAATGGAAGTAGCACCTCCACACCTCCATTATTCTATATTGCCTCCCAGGGACATTTTGTATTTGACTTATGGCTACTTGATACTAAATTTGTCTATTAAAAAGAAAATCCGTCTCCCTGAAATAGAATTCTCTCTATGAAAGCAGATAAAGTGTATATTTCACAGTCTTTAATAAGAGTTTATTTCCTGTCTGGCCCCTTGTAAGTGCTCAATAAAACATATTAGATGTGTCTTTTCTGCCTCTGGCCTGGGAGCTACTGCTACTTGAAATATAAAAAAGTAAGAAAAATAAACTTGTAAAAAATTGATACTGCAAGTGCTCCATGTTCACTGATACCTCCTCTCCTCACAACTTCACAGCCTGTGCTACCTGGGAGCCTTTCCTGCCAGTTTCTACATCTGTTGCTTCTCATGTCCTATTCCAGGTATGTCTTATCCTGGCACCAGAGGTCACCATCAAACCTTTCCCTGTATCAAAACCACAGGAAAAAGAAAAATAACCTTTCTCTAAGTTTAGTATATCTGTGAACTATCACTACACATCATTGTTTGTTTACATCCCACATCTTGCCACAAAATCCCAGGCAATCTTTCTTCACAGTCATGTACTGCAAACATCTTTTCATTTCCTCAGCTGCCCAGTCTGTTCAGATCAAGCTTTTTGAAAAGTCCCTTAACTGTTGTACTTGCTTTCATGTTCTTTTTGCTTTAGTTCTTTTCATATATGGCTCTTAGATAACATTCCTAAGTTGTTAATGTTCTTTTTTAAACACTTGAATGACTTCCTAGGAAAGGGTGCAAATTAGCAGTCTATGTTCTAATAAGATGAGGTATATTATATGTGTATATATATATATATATATATATATATATGAATATGCAAGTAAGTGTACATGTATATGTATGTTTGTGTGTTTGTTTGGCTCACTCTGATTTTAAGACAAATATTCTAGCCACTGTTAAATAACCAAGGGGTTTTATATCAAAATCAGAATTTCTGATTTCTCAGGAAACCTAAAAGATCTGCAAACTCTGGCCCAGGATCTCATGAGACAAGAATAGCTGAGTATTGACTGCCCTCTAAAGGCAGAGTAAATACACTCCAGTTTGCCAGAGTCTCCAGCACTCCCTATTGTGCCAGATGCAGGGACCAGATGTAATTTGTGATTTATGGTCATAGTTGTGCCACACTTTCTTTGAGTGGGGAACTATTTATCCTGATATGTCTTTCAATCCCAGGAAAACAAAATCTAGCCTGGAAAGCTATATATTTAAATTATAAATGAAAGATACCATATTTGCTTAAGAAAATGAAGATAATTTCTAAGTATTCAATATGAAAAAAAATATATATATATATACATGTCTATGTGTACAGTTGACCCCCTTCACTCACTTACATTATTTACTCAGCCTCTGTAGGGGTCAGAATTTCTGAACCCAAAATGAGAATAGATTCTCATTCTGGCACCTGGGAGTGTTCCTAGCAGAGACTCAGTTTGATCATTTAACTTCATCTTCTGCTGCTCTTACTCCAACTTCAATAGAAGTTGCTAGAACTGAACTTCCTAGGCACTGTCCTCTAGACCTAAATTATTTCCTCCAGTCCCACCCCGTCTTTTCCCAATTCCAGTCTACCTTCACTTTGTCTGTGAGAAACCTTCCATCTTTAAACCCCTGATCAAAGCCCCAGTCTCTAGGAACCATTACTAATCTATCAGATGTGCTTTCTCTGCTAGGTCTACCTCACTGCAATGCCTAGATTATGCTTAAGTTTTTAGTGTCCCCCTGAGGGATTACAGCTAAGGTTCTGGGAAGGCCCAGAGATATAAATAATACTCTAAGAAATGGAGGAGAATGAAGAGAACTTATTTATCAGGACATTTCACAGAAGATATAAACAGAAGCTATAAATTCTGATGTTTAGGATTTATTTCTCAGGGCATTTTATCCATACATGTCTTCATACACACCCCTAGACTCTTGCACAAAGACAACCATGAGGAATGTCACATAGTGATTAAGAGCACGAGCTTTCAAGTTAATCAAATTTACCACTGACTGTGATATCTTAGCTAAGTGTATTCTTAAGTAAATTACTTAATCCCATTGAGAGTGTTTCTTTTCACTAAAAAAAAAAATATGAGTTTAATAATATCTTTCATAATGTTGTGGAGTGGATTGAATAAGGAAATGCTCACAGGACACTTAGCGTGATGTCTGGTATGTAACAATGGTATCTGTTGTGATGGGGGGAATATTTTAAAAACATTAATATACTTTCATCTTGCTTCCCAAATGTTCTCACTATAAAGACTAAAATCCTGAAAGCCTCAGAGAAGAGAAAAGGAAGGAGAATGACTGGGGATAGGGAGAAAGAGAGGGGAAGGGGTGATGGAGAGAGAAGTGGGCGAAGGAAGGCAGGACTGGAAAGGAAGCAGGCTTTCTGGTAGACCTCTCTGGCAGGCAGCCTCCATGAGCAACAGGGCGACCCTGGCTTGAGCTCCTAACCCTGTGAGTGGCCGTCAGCTCAGCCTTCAGGTGCCTCCAGCCCTCTTTGCCACAAGACTCCAAATGAAAATTGCTCAGCCAATCCCAGTAAAACCATGAGACCATAAGAATTATTTTTTTCAATTTTTTATTTTTTTACATCGCTGTTCATTTTTAAACAATGTTCGCTTCCCTCCACCCCCCTCAGGTGTCGTCCCCATAGAGTTTCCTTCACCAATGCCCCCGTGCACCATCACCTCAGTCCACTGTGCTCCTCCCTCCCTCCCTCTGATCCCTCTCCTGCCTCCTCCCCTGCAGGATGTCTCTGGTTTATAATTGTCTGTTTTTGCTTTGTTGTGTTTTGTACTGTTATTATTTTTTTTTACACTGATGTCTTATTTGGTTCCCCTATATTCCTGCTGTAAGTAAAACCATCCAATATTTTTCTTTTTCCTTCTGGCTTATTTCACTGAGACCATGAAAATTAATACACTGTTGTTGTAAGACTGCACTTAGGAGTGGTTTGTTATTCAGCAAACAGATAATAAAGTGAAAATTGGTACCTGTAGATGAGGTGTTTTTATAACAAAAACCTAAAACATGTAAAATTGACTTTGGCGCTAGACAATGAGCAGAAGCTGAAAGTCTATAAGGAAACTGTTATCAAACTCTTCAAGAACAATCAGGGAGTTATTATTGGAGGCAGGATGGAAGAGGACTTGAGTTGTGGCTGGCAAAACAATTAGCAACACTAACCCCTGAGTAAGAGTGGAAAATAGACAAGTATTTAACCATCATGTGACTTAACTAGGGAGATTCCAGGCAGAATGTAGAAGTGATGACAGGCTTCTATTGGCTACAATAAAATAGAAGAGGGACTTGAATTAAGAATCAACTGATTTTAG